CAATCATAACAGCTCAAGGACAGTTGATTCTTCTTCCATAGATAAGCTCAAAAGCCCCCAGACCTGCTTGTCTGAGCTGCGGTCACCTCTGCCCTCTACCCTGCAGCCCTGCAGCCCTGCCTCAAAGGAGGTTTCCTGGCTCAGCCCCCTCCTGGCACAGCCCCATGACCGCTCTTCCCTCCCAGCTCCTCCCTTCCAGTCAGAGGAGACCCCAGAGAGCCCTGCACCCCCGCAGAGGCGGAACAGCAGGAACTTGGAGGAAATCTTGGGACTCTCTCCGGGAGTAAGTCAACAGGAGGAGTATGCGTATAAAGACAAGACAGTGTTCAATTATTTTATGGTACGACAGTTTCCACTTTTCTTCCTGTTGTTTTCCAAGAGGTATATCCACGTTATTGAATTGCAGTCATTCAGTAGGTCTGCGAGGTACCTGGGAACAGGCTGAAGGTTCTCTGTTTCCTAAATGAGAAGACAGAGCAGGGAGATGTGCGTGTGATTACCCACGGCTGGTGGCAAAGCTGGAGCTGGCTTGCAAGGTGGAACCTTAGGTCCCAATCACCCATCAGACCTCGTGGCTTCTTGGGAGCCTTCTGCCTATAAAGATGAGAGGCTTGGGTGGAGACAGGCTGGGGACCCTCCACCTTGGAGGTCTTCAGGAACAGGGACCTCTCCTTTCTTTTGCTGTAAGAAAGAGAGCACGTCTCTAGAGACTGAAGGATGGACAAAATTACCTTTGGAGAGGGACGAAAATTGAAAGGAAAATAAGAAAAGGAGGTGCCCAAGACGAGGAAGCACGCTCTCCCTCAGGAAGGGGGGAGATGCCGGCTGGGAAGGGGGAGGGGTCACCTTGTGGGACATTTTCTGCTTTGCTGGGGGTTGGAGCAGTGTGGGATTGCAATGACCTCTGAAGCCTTGGGACTTGCAGTCTAAGGAGATGGAGGGAGCGATAAGGGTGAGCTGGGGGTGTAGATGTGCTGATAAGAGGCCGGCAGAGGAAAGGAACACCTGCCCGGGAAACACTCAAGCCCTAATGCTAGTCCTGGAGGGAGTGGAGGCGGGAGGGCCCGGTCAGAGCCGCACAGAGCAGGTGTGCAGGGCTGGCCACCAAGGGCATGGTCCTCGGGTCCCGGAGGAGGAAAGGGGGGCCCCCTCCATGAGCGGGCCTCCACCTCTGGGTCTCCCCCTCCCACTTGCGCTCCTTTGCCTGCACTGTCCTCTCCAACGAGAGGGGCAGGAACAAGCTGCCTGAAGGGGACCAAGCTGTCCCTCCTGTCCTACCTGGTAGGATTGAGATTCAGAAATGGCCTTCCTCATCTTTAAGGAGTTCTCTCCTCTTCTGTCCTCTGGCTTCCCTCCCCGTCCCCCCATACCCTTTGTCACGTCCTGCATCGCCACCCTCTTCTCCCTTCTCTCCTCTCATCCGTCCTCATTCTCTGGCAGCTTTCTGCAGGCAAGGAGTCCTACAAGCTCTCTCCCTCAGGTAGCAGCTCCCCTGCAAGATGATGCCTCGGGGTCTAGCACGAGTATGTAAGAGCTGGTCCAGGGCCCCGACTTCCCTCTCTTATCCCAGAGACCCTTGGTGCCAAGGGAGCCAGATCTCTTTTTCTGATGGGATGAGAAGGAGGAAAACATATAAACCCAGATTTCAATGTTTAGGTCATACCCTCCCACCCCACCTGCCCACAGCCATGTAGGGGAAGAATCTGAATACCATCCTTTAAAAGATGAAGAGGAATTGTCATTGGATGGTGGAATTATTTGCCTTTTTTGTTTTTCATAATTTTTTAACATACTTTTGTAATAAGAAAAAAATGTGAAGGGGTTCCTGGTTTCCTACAAGGATTTATCTCCTCAGCACAGGGCATCAGGCAGGCGGGTGGTGAGGGAATGGGGGCAGTGGTAGCAGTGCCACCCGGTTCTTTCCTCTCCAGCCGCCCCTGTAAGACACCCCGACGCCCAACTACCCTCCCCAGGCAAACTCACAGAGCCGGAGATGGCTTCTCATTTAGCCTTGAACCAAGAGGCTCCTCCCCCAAATAGCCAGGAGGTTGTTAGTGATTTTTTTCCATTCAAGCATCATTTCCTGAACCTGCAGGTCAATGAGTGCAAGGGACAGGTGAACAGGGTCACCTGCTTACTTGAATCTTGCCTCTCCCATCATCAAGTGACCTCCTGTACCGCTCCCCAGTCACCCTGTCACCTGGCTTGGATCACCAGGAAGTAAACAGGAGGCCGTGTCGGCTGTCTGGGACAGTCTCCCGATAAGCCCGTCTGACGGCGTGGGCGGCATCCGTGGGAGGGAAGCTCCACGGGCCCTTCCATTTCTGCGATCCCCTCTTTCAGGAAGGGTACGTGTTTCTGCGCACATCCTCACCCCTGCACTTGGCGGTTCCTTCAGGTGCGGGGTACATGGACGCCAGGAGCGGTGTGAGCTGGTGGTGATAGTTCCAGCGTGTCTAAGACCCCCCTCCCACCTGTCCTGGCACCCCCTCCTGTCACTCATGGCCAGTATCTGTCTCTGGTTTTTCGGGGTGGGGCTTCATCCTGTCTCCCCATCTCTCTGCTCCAGGAAGCAGAAGCTAATAAGCCACAGCCCATTACCAACAGGTCTGTGCTCACCAGGGTCATGGGCAGGGGCAGGCACTGGGACGTGAAGGCAGGTCTCTTGAGATCCGTTACTTGGGATCCTTGCCTCTGTCTGCCACACTGATTTTTCTCTGAAGACTGTAACTCCTCCCACCCTTTAGAGATGGAGTTTAGACACTGGGTCTCTAACAACTTTTCCTCTGTGTCTGAGTACAGGAGGATGTGGAATGAGGGAAGACGGTGTTCAGTCTACCAGTACAAGACGGCAATGGCTAGGATAGAGGGAAGTCCGGGAGAGGACGATGAGTGAGAGAAAGGTTTCCACTTGGGTCCAAGGCACTCTGCTCTCTGTCTCTCTCACACCCAGAGCAGGTACCCATCCCCTCCTCCACCTACGCCCTCCCCCTCCTTCATTTCTGACGGAGCTGAGTTTCACGCACAGCCCAGGACTTGAAGATCCCCATTTCGACATCCGGTCTGGGTCTCAGTTTATGCAAGTCGCTTTCCTTTGAGAAAGGCTGTACAGAGGAGTGGGAAGGTGTGATATTTAGAATCTAAAGAATCAGCCAAGAGCCCTGCTCTGCACCTTATTATCTGTGTGATCTTCAGTGGGCGAATCATTTCTTTTGTGAACCTCAGTTTCCTCATCTATATAATGGGTATGGCAATACCGTGACTTTGAGTCCTGGTTACTATGTGGATCTAATGATATAATGGACATGAAAGGACCCCACAAACTCTTAAGTCATTGCTGTGGCTCTGCACAGAATGGCCCACTGTGGTCATCCTGGACGCCTCAGTTGCCCCCTGCTAGCCACTCTCCACGCTCTTGCCTGCCAACGGAACTCTCCAGGAGGACGGGATGAGGGTCAGGCCCACGACTGTGATGTCACAGAGCTCATGACATCAGAGGTCTTACGGAAGGGAAGGGGAGAAAACGGTGCTGGGAAGGGGTAAGCGCCGGGACAACGGACAGGGGAGGGAGGAGGGGGTCCTGCCGGGCACTGGGGACTAGGGAAGGCCCATGACTTCCCTGGGCTCCCAGCTCTGCAGGGCAACATTCCTGGCATCCATCCTGCTGCTGCTGTGGGTCAAGGGGATGAAGCCTCAGACAGGGAGCCCAGACCTGGACGAGAGGAGTCAGAAAGAGAAAACACCCTCTACAGGTAGGTGAAGAAGGGGGACGATGCCTGAAGCCGGGGACCAGATCTCTTTGGAGTCAGATCACTGGTCAGGCCAGAGGGAAAGCTGAGATAGGTCTGGGTTACGGGCGGTCACCCCAGGCCCTACTACTGCAGTGTGAGTGCCCTGTAAAGGGCCTAGAGCCATGGTTCCTCGCCAGGGCCATACTCAGGGTGTGCCGGGGCCAGCTGATGTGCATGGGACCCTGTGAATACGGGAAGAGGGTCTTGGAAGTTCACCCTTCTCTACGTTGGTCCCTCACTCCCCAAATGAGGTAACACCTTGGAGGAGGCAGTTTGAATTGGCAGTGGGGAGTGTGTGCCCTTGAGCTGGGGCTATGGCTGCACACAGACCAGAAGAGACCCCCCAGATGGAGCATCGCCTCTGTGGTCAAGGAAAAGGGTGTGGGCAGTTGGGCTCCCAGGTTCCCCAATGCCTTCCTCTTTCCAAGGCGGGCCAGGGGCAGGGGCCGGGGGGGGCATCAGAAACAGTCCTTTCATGCTGTCCCCCGTCCCCTGTTTCAGACCAAGATGGAGAACAGTTTGCAGAGCACTTTGTGGCCTCCTCGGTGGGCGAGCTGTGGCAGGCAGTGGACATGACCCAGCAAGAGGACGAGCAGACGTCAGAGGCGGTGGCAAGCCGTGGCCGCCTGCTCGACCTCGCCTTCTGCTTTAACCTGGCCGGCACCGTGGTTTTCCTATGAGGGACCTGGAGGCGGAGGCGGTGGCCTGATTCCTGGACGAGGACCTGGACATCTGCCTCCGCTTCACGGTAGCTTACTGACCGCCTCCCCGTGGGGCTCCGGAGCGCTTCTCCCGAGGGTGACGTACATGCGGCTTCCTGGCTCTTGCCCACGACGCTCCCCCTCGGGACGCAGCATCAGAGAGACCCCGTGCTGGCCTCTCAGCGGCCCATGGCCCCTGCCCACCTTCCTCCCCACCCTCTGAGGGCCATCTCCAAGAGCGGAGACACCGGACCCCTGCCCTTCTCTCTCCCCCAGCCTCTCCTGGCTTTGCTCAGGACAACAGATTAGGGGTAGGGAGGCAGCAACAATGAAAGTAATAACAATCAAATCCTGGAAACAAGTGGGGGCAGCTTAATTCTGTCTCTAATCGGTTTCCACCGACCTTTAGCTCATTCACTGGTTCTTTCCTTGTCTCACGTCCTTGGAACTCTGCTTGGCGGTTTCTCCTCTGATTTTTTCTGACTTCTAGGCATCGGACATAGCAGGAAAGTGTTCTTAAGTGACAGGCAGAAGCCAAGGGCCGGCTTTTATTTTTGGAACAGAAGGGGAGAGGAGGTATTGTCCTGATTCCAGGGATGGGGCAGGGAGATGCTGATACACCTGTACTGAGGTCTCTTTGGGAGCCAGCTGGGTTACCAGAGTTGGCAGCGGCTGGAGGGGTTCATGAGGGTGCCATGGGGACAGTGGAAGTGTCTGGCGAAGGCTGGGCTGTTGCTTAGGGGCCCGTGGATTCGAAGGGTAGGAGGGCTGTGAGTGTCCTGAGGATCCTGGGTGCTGGGGTCCCTACACATCACCTGGGGAGAAAGAGAGGTCCATACAGGGTAAGGAGAAAAGCAGGGTATCAGGGCCAGCAGGACACGGCAGACCTGGTGACCAGGTGGTAACTAGGGACAGCAAAGATAAAAGCAGGGATAGCAATGCTCCGAGGGCCACATGGAGAAAGGAAGATATTTGCCATTTGCGGGTCATGTAATCTGGCAGTGGGTACCTGGGGAGGGCTGGCCTGTGCAATCATACCATTTGTAAGTGCCCTAGAGGTGGGTCTGCTGTAAGAACACTGTGTGGGTCTTTAAGTATCCTGAGGAATTGGGGGTACTCTCTGCCGAGGGAGAAGATGGCACTTAGCGGGGCTTATGTCAGGTGGGGACCCCACTGCGTGGCGAGGTCTCCGAGGAGGAATGTGGTCTACAGATAGTCTGTTAAGGCTCTTTTTGAAGGGATCTGTGTTTCCAGAAGAAATGAGAGAAGCTAAAAGTTGGGCTCATCTCAAGGAGGGATTTGGGAATAGAGTTGTTTTCCTTTTTTTGAAGGCACTGCTGAATTTGGTAGAAGAATTTATAGCAGGATGAAGGGATGGTCCCAAGGGGACATGTGTGAAAGGATGACATCGGGGATTTGTGCAACAGAGGGCTGGTGGCATTGGGGGAAGATGCTTAACAGTATCTGAGTGTTAACAATAGGGTATTTATCTGACATGGACTAAGCCCTGGTGGGAGGTGTCGGCTGCCTACCTGGGCATAGCTTCGGAAGAAGAGTTGCCAGGGGCTGAGGTTCAGGTTGGGCAGGGTGGTCTCCCCACGGTACCATAATAGCCTCTTGCTGTATGCCTGGATATGGGAGTGGGATGGAGAGTCGCCCTTAGGCTCTAGACCCGTGGCCATCTGGAAATCTGATGCCCTACACGCAATATCCAAAACCAGTTCATGGTCCTTCTTTCCAAGTTCTGCACTGACACACTGCTCTGAGCCAGGAGAAAAGGTACTTGCCGTGAGATCTATGGATCTAGAAAAGAGGGCTCTATGGAGTCGGAGGGGGTCCTCAAGTTGCCACCTGTTCAGTGGGGATGTGAAGGGCAGAAAGTTTTGCTATGTTTGCCTGAGGGATGGTGGAAGGAAAAACTGGGGACAGGCTGTCTATTCTGCTGGTAAAAATAGATCGCAGCCCTTGGGATGTGAGTTACCTGCAGTGCAATGGCCAGTCCCCCCATGTCTGCAGCATCCTCCAGGAATGTGCGGGAGCCATTGAAGAAGGTCCCGTTGGGTAATGGAAAGGCAGCATAGTGGCGCTCCAGGCACACTAGCGCCCCCTGTAGGGCATGGGTGTCACAGGCTGGGCAGCCCCCAGGGAATACTGTTGAAAATGGGGCAAGGGAATGAAACGGTGAGGCGTGATGCAGGGCTGAAGACATGGGGGTACCACAAACTGGGCTGGCTCCCAGGAGCACTGCAAAGGCTTCAGAACTGCCCCCACCCCCGGAACCCTCGCACAGCCTCCCTTCTCCCCCTCTAGGATGCCTTTGGGGCCTTCACCTGGGTTCCCGATGGCCCCATCTCCCAATGGCCCGCTGTTACTCACGGAGCTGGTAGAAGATGTGCAGCAGCTCATGGGCCATAACGCTGCCGGCAGCGCCAAAGTTCACAGCTCTAGGGAGCAAGGGCTTGTCTTACCCTCAGAATCCTTCCAAGTTTTTGGCCCCAATTCTCCAACCATAAGTCGCATCCATCATTCATCATAACATTGGTCCATTGCTCTTGGGAAACTTAGAATGGCCCATACCTGGGGTAGCCAGGGTGGAAAAACGGGGGTTGGAGGAGTCCGGCTGGGAAGACCACCACATGGTCAGGTATTGAATAGTAGGCATTTACGCCCCAGGGGAGCACCTGCCACCTGTGGAAAGAGTACATATGAATACCAGCTCTATCATTTACATGCCGTCCTTCCCAAATACTGTCACTGTTCCTGTTCCCCTGAGCCTCTGGCTTTCTTTCCTGCTAATTTTGGACGGCTATCTTTGGGATGCGGTGTCTGTGTCTCCCTCGCCCTCATACCTGTGGTTGGGGAAAGGCTGCAGGAAACTCCGGATGATTCTAGCTCGGCGGGATCGGACACAGCTCAGGAAGGACTGCAGGAAGCTGGGTCCAAGTTGTATCTGGGGGGAGGCAGGAGGCAACTCGAATACACGGAGACAAATGTAGATGCACACTGATATACCCTGATGCGGACATCTGAACCCAGAGAGATAAGCCCTGATGCACGGACATCCCCGGAATGGTGGAAAACCAGCGCCATGACACCAGTGCCTGCGTGGTACAAACAGGCTTCACACGTACCAGCACACAAATACTCAGGCAAGTCACACAAATGCATGGATGCAAGTGCACACACACGCTCAACGTGACCTGCAAAGATTCTACTCTTCTGTTGGCAAGATCCATAGTGTGGCTATCCACCCATCAGGCCCCAGCAGCACCAGGGCAGGGAAGGGGTTTCTTAGGATCAACTAGGGAAAATGACTGTCTGCCACTCTAGTGGATCAGGGTGGGTGAAGAAGTTGAGGGTTAAAGAGTAACTGGCAAGGGCAGGAACCCACATCGTCGTATTCTTGTCTGGCTGGGTCTGGCTTCAAGGCCCATTCCGGGGCCCCCATCTTCACCTGCAGCTGGGTGACCTGGGAAGAGACACAAAGGTGGAAGGAACCTAGCTGCCCCAAGTGTTATCAGAAGGAATCTCTCCTGCTCACTGCCCCGTCCCTTCCTCTGGTAGTGCCCCCAGGATGTGTGTGTGGCATATTGGTGTTTATACTTGTGCCCTTGGCCTTGAGCACGCTCCTCCAGGCCCTGTGATCTCTTGATCCAACACTCAGTTCACACCTACTACACGTTCCCACACTGTCTCCTTCTCCTGGCCTTACCTTGTCCTGGACCTTTGCCCGGGTCTCTTCATCCATCCAAGGAAGCACTTGGAAGCGAGCGATGAGGGCATCCTTGATTGCAGTGAATAATTCCATTGCCTGGGGCAGGACGGGGCAGGGAGAAAGGAACAGGATCAAGTTCATCCTCAGTGCTGGGCCCCGCCCACTGGGCCTCTAGGAAGGGGCCTCGACCCTGAGGGGCTGCCAGAAGGAGGAAGGTCTCAGACAGAGAAAGTGGAAAGTGCTACCTACTAGGTGACCAAAAACTCAGGGTACGGAGAGCTGTGGGGATGTGAAGGAGGTACCAAGCACAGGAGGGGAAGGCGGGAACTGGTCACTCCTGACACTTGACGGGGTAGACAGCTCCTTTCCGTGACACTGTCCTTTCTCTCGGCCAGGCAATCGTCTCAGAAAGTGGCGGGAGGAGGTGGACCACCATCCCCTTCTCTGCTCTCGAGGGCCCTCGTCCTCACAGCCTGTTTCTTACAGCCTGCTTTTCCTCTCTCCATCTTCCAGGGTTCCTCAGCTTCGCAACAAGCTGAAGCCTGCCCAGCTTCACACCCTGACTGTGTACTGACTGCTTCCTCAGCCATCTACCACCGTGTGTATTTCCTTTCTTGATGGAGGAAAATGGATGACGACACTGGGAGCCTGAGTTCAAATCCTAACTCTGCTATTTGGTAGCTGTGTGATCTTGGGCAAGTTTCTTAACCCCTCTGTGCTTCAGTTCTCTCTGCTTTAAAATTATAATAATAGTAGGAATTAAAGTAGTTGGTGCAAAGTGCTTATAAGAGTATCAGGCACATGGTAGGCACTGAAAAGTGTTCAGTAGTTATTTATTGGCACTTCCGAAGATGACAGCGTTCCATTCTGATGTCATTTCACGTGTTGTTAAAAAAAATCATAGGTAAACAAGGGGTAGGCTTAGAGGTCATGCAGTTCAATTTTCTCATTTTATGGTTGAAGAAACACATGAGCAGGAAAGCTGGGCGACTTGCCCAGGTCAGTGTGTGTCGTGCGGACTTCGTGTCTCAGAGCTAAACCATGCAGACCCTAGGGATGCAGCGTGTCCCTCTCTGGGTTCTCTAACTGGCTGGTTCTCTGACCACAGAGACCATTGAGAAGAGCAAAGTCGCTAGAACTAGGAGAGGATGGGTTGGCGGGGAAGGGGCGGAAGGACGTGGGCTGGGGAAGGGCCCTCACGTACAGCACTTCGGGTGCTGGGGCCGAAGGCCTCACGGACAAACAAGGCTGCCAGCGTAGGCTTGAAGAAGGCTGCTGTCTTCTCCACACACGTCATCCAGCGAGGGTGGGCAGGCTACAGAGACAAAGCTGGAATGAATGGCTCCCGCCAAGGCGTCTTCCTCATCCACTTTCCCAGGCCAGTCTCACCTAGACCTTCACCCCCAGAGCACGCTCTCTTTGCTGGACTTTCTGGGTTTGTCTCCCTTTACTCTATAACCCCTTTTGGTGACACACATGGGGTCATGCTGCTTAGCAAAGAGGGGCTCACGTCTCCTCCGGGATTAGTCTCATGAGCCTGGGTTGGGCAAACTCTCCTTGTTTATTGCCTATTGAATTTGAAAGCCAGGCCACTGCGAGGCATCCTTCTGGATGACTGAAAGGCTCCTGGGAAGGACAGGACTAGAGCCAACCCTCTCACTTTAGCAGGTCTGCCTGCCACCCTGTCCCCGCCCACCACGCCTGCCACCCTGTCCCCACCCACCACGCACAGAGCCCGGCGGAGACTCCCATCCTCCCACGCTTCTTGACTTAAAAAAGAAATTGAAGAAGGAAGAGTCTCCCTGCCTCCTGCCTTCCTACCCCACTCTCCAAATGGTTATTGAGGATCATATGGTAAGACCTTGTCTTATAAAGAAGGAAGTTATCAGAGTAAAATTGGGTTTTAGATACCATATTGTTTGGTGGGAGAAGAGGAAAAAAGAAAAGACTAAATATACGAATTCAGAGCACTAAGACACTTTCTGCCAAATCAGGGAAAAGGATATAGGATGAGAGGATGGACGTCTTCAACTTCAAAGGCAGAGAAACGGTTAGACAAAAAATCAAAAGAGGGGACTTCCCTGGTGGCACAGTGGTTAAGAATCCGCCTGCCAATGCAGGGGACACAGGTTCGAGCCCTGGTCCGGGAAGATCCCACATGCCACGGAGCAACTAAGCCTGTGCACCACAACTACTGAGCCTGTGCTCTAGAGCCCGTGAGCCACAACTACCGAGTCCGCGTGCCGCAACTACTGAAGCCCGCGCACCTAGAGCCCGTGCTCCGCAACAAGAGAAGCCACGGCGATGAGAAGCCCGCGCACCACAACGAAGAGTAGCCCCCGCTCACCGCAACTAGAGAAAGCCCGCGTGCAGCAATGAAGACCCCACGTGGCCAAAAATAAATACATAAATTTATTAAAAAATAAAAAAAATAAAAACTCAAAGAGGGCCTTGGCAACTGGGGTGTTTTTTAACACATGTTTGACCAGAGACATATTACTGCCACAGGCGTTAGTTTCTGCAAAAATCCCCCGGTCAAATAATGTGTTAACAGCAGGATGGAAAGACTAAGAAACATAAAAGAAAGACGTTGGGGTGGATGGCTTTGAAGAGACGACCAAGCGTAGGCCCAGAGATGACGCAGGGCAGGTGAGAAACAAATTCAGGAAGCTGGCCTAAGGGAAAGCTGAGCTGCGACTTAGGAAAAACCGGCTAACATGCTAATTTGGGCTGAGTGGGCTGAAGTCGTAAGACTTCATTCCTGTAACGTATTTATTTCCCCAGACGTCCTGGCAGGTCAGGCAGTTAGGCTGCCACCACGCATTCCGGTCCTAAGGCTGGAGAGAGTTTATGGGGCTTCCGACAAATGAGGCAAGAGAAAGGAAGGCCAGCACTTCTGTCATCGAAGACACTCCCAGGCCTGCCTATTAGAATGTTTATCATTTTGGAGGTTGCTCCAGACCCGGGTGCCCACATCTGTGCGTTCTTGTCTGTCCCCTCACCATGAGACCTATTAAGGACCTTCTCCTCTTGAGGAGAAGGGACTCAGACACTTTCCATAGTGTATTACTTGGAGCTCTGAAACTCACAAATGTGAAATACAAATAGAAAGGCAACCTCGGTCTGATAGCAATGCCTGGGTCAAGGGCAGGTGCTGCAGGCCCCCGATGACAAGCTCGGCTCTGAGCCTGCCTTTCATCAGACTGCTGCCGGGGGTGGAGGGCTGCACCCAGGACAGGAGCAAACACATCAGCCTTGAGCTTGGTAGTGTGGACCTGCCTGCCCTTTCTACACCTCCTGGTTCTTGAGTTGTTTCCTGATCCCTTTGGCTGGTGCCTGCCCTTCTCTCCAAAAGCCTTTGCCTGTTCCATGCTGTTGCCCATAGCCCAGGCCACGGCAGGCCCTGACCTGGTTCCTGGAGAGTGCGGATACCACCTCGGACCACCCACTGCTCACCCTGTGCCACTCTGGGATTCTTTTGGTCACACTTGTGCTGAGTCATATGTTCTATGTGCGGGAAAATAACTTCCAGAATCTATAAATGAACATAAGTCTCAGGAGTGGAGGTTGGCAGGTTGTCTATTCACCTGCTGGGGGTTATGAGTATCTGAGCTGTCTCTCAAGACGTGGAGTGATAGAGTATACCACATTGATTGAAAATAGAGAAAAAGAAAAAAAATCATTGCTAAAATATAAAGGATAGAAGAAATACTTCAAACCCAGGATAATGAGGCTCAAAAGATTAATTTTAAGGAACAGAAAAATGTTGCGGGAGTGGGAATGTGGGAGGGATGGAGTGGGAGTGTGGGATTAGCAGATGCAAACTATTATATACAGGATGGATAAACAACAAGGTCCTACCGTAGAGCGCAGGGAACTATATTCAAAGCCCTGTGATAGGGGCTTCCCTGGTGGCGCAGTGGTTGAGAATCTGCCTGCCAGTGCAGGGGACACGGGTTCGAGCCCTGGTCTGGGAAGATCCCACATGCCGTGGAGCGGAGCAATTGGGCCCGTGAGCCACAACTACTGAGCCTGCGCTTCTGGAGCCTGTGCTCCACAACAAGAGAGGCCGCGATAGTGAGAGGCCCGTGCACCGCAATGAAGAGTGGTCCCCGCTCGCCGCAACTAGAGAAAGCCCTCGCACAGAAACGAAGACCCAACACAGCCAAAAATAAATAAATAAATAAATTTAAAAAACCCAAAAAACCCTGTGATAAACCATAATGGAAAAGGATATGAAAAAGAATGGATATATATGTATAACTGAATCGCTTTGCTACACAGCAGAAGTTAACACAACACTCTAAATCAACTATACTTGAAGAAAAAAATCTTTTAAAAAAGAAAGAAAAAAAGTTGCAGATACAAGCTTAGAACCATGAGTAATGACAGACATGATAAAAATCAGGAAAAATTCCAAGAGTCTGGAGAGAAGCAAATTTTTGCACAATTTTCAGTAAGGGGAAGGTAGATTTTAGAGATTACAGGTGAGTCAGGAATCCTTAATGTTAATTTCTAAACAAAATTCTAGAATGAATCATTAAACCGACTATTTTTGAACACTTGGAAAATAATGTGTAACTCCTGAGGGCCAGCATAGCACCACTGAGGACGAATAATATCAAAACCCTTTTGAAATGTCATCACTTTTAAAGGATCATTAAATTAGGATAAACAGTAGATCTGGAGTCACAAACTCAAACAGGGGCCATGAGGTAACCTAAGTGAGAGCAGCAGTCCAACGTCAGAACCCCAGGACAAGGGGTACGGCAAACCGGAGAGAGGGACGCAGCCCTGCTGGCTGCATCACTCAGTTCCGGTCATTTGTCGCCCCTGGAGACGGCTAGCTCTGTGTTGCCAGAGCTTCACATTGACAACAACAAAAAAGGCTGGAACTCTGAGTCTTGCTGTGCCATCACCTAACAGTTTATAAAAAGCTTCAAAGGCCAACAACACACACCTATGGGCCAGATTCAGCCTCAAGGACCACCGCAGTGCTCCCTCTGTACAGAGAATTCAGTATTTACTAACTGTGGATTATTAACTTAAACCCTCATACTTCAGTTACGCCAGCTATAAAAATGAGCCTAATGCCTGTTCTGCCTTCCTGTTCCGCTTTCCTCACAAAGCTACTTGGGAGAGCAGGGGAAACACTACGTGGAACGTGCTCTGTAAATTCTAAAGTTCTGCCCCACTCTGTTGGCATGATTTTGATTTCAAGATAGCAGTTGGTAAAACCAAAACTTACATCTTTGTGAAATCGATGGAGAAATCCACGTTAAATGACAGTGTGACTTGAGTGGATTCTGACTGACTGGTCCATAAGGGAACATCAGTGATTACTGACTCCAAGTTAGTATGAGCTTCCCCGACCACCCCGCTGGACATCGTAGCACGTCCTCACCTAGCACGCCTCTCTCCCTTTCCTGTTTTATTTTTTCATAACACTTAATACCATCCAATATGTTTTTTTCAGCTTACTGTCATTCTGCCTCCATTAGAATATAAGTGTTTGAGGGCAAGGATTTTTGTCTATTTTGTTCATGAAGATTCCCAAGGGCCTAGAGAAGTGTCTGGCATATAATAGGGACTCAATTAACATTTGGTGCATAAATGAACTGACGACTCTACGCTAGGTCTTCAATAACCTGACCCAATACTCTTCCCTCTGCAGAATTTTACCAGTAATCTAGATGAAGATGCAATAAATAAAACCATGAATGACCTGAGGCAGAAATAACAGATCATTGAAACAAAGGCTAAAATTACCTGAATAAATTGGGATGTTGCGCTGAATGTAAACAGTTCACATTTAACGGGCAAAAATGTGAGGTTCTGCTTTTAATTCCCCAAACTCAGCTTCTCAAGTTTAATAAGAGGAAGACCTGGCTTAACAGCCAGGTTCATTGACGATATATTCAAAAGTCATAAATAAAATATGGTCAGATAATGAGACCTAACAGTCCTTCTGAATAAGGGCATTATCCATTAGAATTCGTTCAGAAGAATATGGTTAGACATCTGTAATTAACAACCATTGGATAGAAATACAAATTTTGATCAAATCAAGGCCAAAACCTTGGTGGTATCTTTGACTCCACTTTCACTCTCACACCACACAGCCGTCAGGAAACACTGCTGCTTACCTTCGGAATATGATCTTTTAAAACATAAAACAGATAACTCCCTCTATAGGCCCCTGTTACATGCAGAGAAAAACCCAGGTCCTTACAGTGACCTACCAGGCCCAGGATAATCCCCTCCTCCCCTCTCTGATTTCCTCCCTACTCTTATCCTATTTGCTTTCTCTGTTCCAGGCGTGCTGGCTCCCAGGCTGATTCTCAAACCCCCCAGGCCAGGCTCCAGCAGCAGTAGGACAGCCTTGCCTGCAAGCCCCATCACCTCTACTCAGCCAAAGCCACCAGGAGGATCCCTCACACTGCACCAAGCCTTAGCCAGCCTGCCCCATGCCTTGTTGCAATGAAACGATATCCCTGTCTCCGCCGGAAAACCCGTTCTTCTCCCTAGACACTGCTTCCGTCCTACCTCCCGTTCAGATATCCCACTGATCATTTAAACCCACCCTCATCTCTCCCTCTTAGGAATTCCAGGAGTATCTAAAGCAGAGTTTTCTCAGAACCCAGTGACACCCATTCATTTACTTAGCGTATGACTGCTTTTGTGTTACAAGTGTTACAAGTGTTACAAGAACCCAGTGACACCCATTCATTTACTTAGCGTATGACTGCTTTTGTGTTACAAGGACAGAGCTGAGCGGTTGCAACACAGATCACAGACCACAAAGCCAAAAATATTTACTATCTTGACCTTTATAGAAAGAATTTGCCAAAGCATTTTTTGTTACCACCCACTATTTCTCAATCCTGCACAGTTTGTGGTTAAAAATATGGCCTCCCGGGTCAGACAGACCTGTTTTGGAGTGTGTTCCTTCACTTAGGAGCTGTGTGGTCTTGGGAACATTACATGTCCTTTCTGAGGACCTCAGAGTGGTTCTGGGAGTAGTAAATAAAATAAGCAATGCCTGACACAGAGTAACTACTCCATGTATTTCAGCTTTTATTATTAATATGTGTCATACCTGGTACTGTTCCAGACAGGTGAAAGGGCTTCACCAAGTCACAGAACTATTTGTTGGTAGGGTTTGATTCAGCTTTTAAGCCCAAGGACAATTATATATCCTATTAGATACATAACGCTGTTTATAATATGTATATAAAGGATATATATGTGTATAAAGGGTGGTGACTTTAGCAATTCATAAGCCTTCTAAGTTTTTTAAGTGTGAATTTCAATGTTGGCATTCTTACACCTTTCAAGAAGCGCCACCAGGCCATGGTTCTGGGATTTCCCGGAGGCTGTCTGGTGCCAGGGATTTTGTAGCAACCCTAACTAAGAGGGGTTGGGGCTCTGTCTCATCTGAGTCAAGGGAAAGGCTGAGCCACAGGTTCTTGGGGACTAGCCTACCTGAGTGAAAATTCCAGAAAGTTTTTTGGGTTTTCTTTCTTTCTTTCTTTTTTTTAAACAATGATTAAGCACACAGACTCTGGAGCCAGACTTCCAGAGTTCGAATCCCAGCTCTGACAACTTACTAGGTATATTACCCCGAGCAAGCCCCTTAACCTTTGGGTCTCAATTTACCCATCAATAAAACAGGGACAGAACGGTCTGCCCATCTCATGGAACTGTTGTGAGGATCAAATCAGCTCGTGTATCTGAAGGGCTTAGAAAAATATCTAGCACATTTGAAAGTCTCAATAGGCAATAACTACATTCCAGTCCCTGCGTTTACAATTCCCTTCTCTGAATTCCACAGATATTTCAGGTTGCCAAAGCCATGAGTTTCTCCAAGGCAGAGAAATGGTCCACAAATTACTAAGAAAAGAAACCCAGTGATTTTCAAGACTACCCTGAGGCCTTGCCTGAGGATGGAGGGCATCTTATGTTCTAGACGCCTCCTCTTGGGATTGGATGTGTCGACCTAGGATTTCAAAGTTCTCAGTAACTGAGTATGGACAGAGTAGACTTTGGTTAGTAGAGCACGTTTGGTACAGCTCCCTCCTCTGATATGTTGGGATCTGCACCACGAAGCCCACGGTGTGGCCGACAGAACCCTCGGGATGTCAGAGATGAGCTCATCGTGAAGCACCTTTGGACATGGAACACTGGAGTCACCGAGACAAAGGGAAGGTCCCTGCCTCTTACTCCAGTGAACCCTAGGCTGTATGTCCGGCCCCTCAAATCACAGCGCTCAGGATAACCAGGCAAATAGTCTAGGGGTCATGACAAAAGAAAAGCAGGCCTTGATCACTTTAGAGCTTTAGATCTAGACTTTAACAATCAGCAAAAGGCCCTGGAGGTAGCCAGACGTGTGCCTAAGGGTCTGGTCCCTGGTGCCTCAGCTCTCAGTGTAAGCCCTGAGTGCCTCCAGGAGAGCCAGACCCTGGGGCATCTATCTTCATGCCCCTCCCTGAGGGGGCTATGACCACGTTTATCCCCCCAAATGACAGATGCTCCTTTAGCCCCCCATCCGGGAGAATTCCTCCCCTCCCCTCCTCACCGTGGGCGGTCGTCCCGTCAGCTCCCCCAGTTTCTGGCTCAGCAGTCTACGTGCCTCTTGGAATTTACTGTCCAGGGCTGGAGAAAGGGTCCCCACCAGACCCAAGATCATGTGGCTCTGCAGAAAGTCCCTGTGGAGAGAAAAGAGACCCACAATATACCCCCGGGCTCTGGGGAAAACACCAGAAAAGCTTCCCCTTGGATAGGTCACCTTGATACTCTCGGGGAAGCCCTTCTCTGTATTAATAGAGAATAACTGCTTCACATGTGAACACGCCAAGAAGGGCTTTTCAAAAAAAAAAAAAGGCTTTTCTACCTTTTTTTTTTTACCCTAGTTTAAAAATACTTTATTGCTAAAAAAATTCCAAAACGATTAAAGTATCATCAAAGTTCACTGATCACAGATCACTTTAACAATTAAAATAATACTGAAAAAGGGTGAAATGTTGCGAGAATCACCCAGATATGACCCAGAGACATGAAGTGAGCAAATGCTATTGGAAAAATGGTGCCCACAGACTCGCTTGACACGGGGTTGCCCCAAACCTTTCACTTGTAAAAAACCACAATCTCTACAAAGTAAAATACAGCGGACGCAAAATTAAATGTTATCAACTAGAGTCACCATGTTGTACATTAGATCCTGAGACTTTGTTCACCTTACAACAGAAGGCTGGTACCCTTTCCCCAACCTCTCCCTACTTCCCCACCCTTCAGCCCCTGGCAACCACCGTTCAAAACTTTTGTCTGTTTTAAGAAGAGCTTTTCTTGATGTGGGTTGGGCTGGGGTGGAGAATGATAGAAGAAAGAACCAGATGAAGAGGCGGACCTCTCAAGTCACAGCGGGGGTGGGGGTGGGGGAAGGATCTGGGCTAGATGAAGGCTGGACTTAGATTCAACCAAACAGATTGAGCTACTTCCACAACCAAGAAACCTCAGCTCATCTTAAGATGCATCTTCTAAGAGCAACAAAGCTGGGATCCAGGACCTTTCTCTGCCTGGCTGGCAACTCTCTCACCGGGTTTGATTTGTATCCTTACATAGGATACAAATCGCACCTGCGTGAATGGTTGTTTGCTTCTCCCTGAAAGAATTTCTAGACGTTGCTGCCACTGAGTTACCATGAAGATGGGATTTGAGCCCAAGGCCCTGGAAGGAAGCCACTGCCTTCAAGTGGTGGCCACACAGTATCAGGGACAGCAGTGAGGCCAACACAGAGCCTCACCCTCCCTCCTCCCACCTTCCTCGACGCCCTGATCTTTCCCACAAGGGCCCCAGAATCCTCTCACTACAGATGAGAAACAGCCTCTCCCCCAGGTTCTTCCCAGCCTTCACCTCCTCCATCTACTCATCCCACGTACCTTCTCCTCCCACCCACACCCCTCAGCTGCTGACAAGACATAAATGCCCAGCTGTCCCCAGCAACTGGCCTTGGAGCATCTCCCACAGCTCAGAGTTTCTTCACAGGCTGGGTGCTACTCCCAGCAAACCCCATGTCTTGTCAGATACCTGGATCCCTCATTTCGTGTGTGTTTCCCTACCCCATGCCCCCCGAGCCCCTCTTCCTGTTTCCACCATGTCCTCCTGGGCCGTCCATCCCACCCCCATATGGCCCCAGATCCCTCCCATCTTTCTGCGAGGCCCTTACTAGCCTGCATTCTCCAGTCTTCTCTGTCCCTGAGACCTCCGGTCCTCGGACCCTCTTTCCATCACCCTCCCACGTGGGGCAAACCTGTGCTTCGACAGCTGCTTTTCAACCAGTTGCGACATGTTTTTCAAATACTCCAGGTCATGGACTGCGACGGGATGAGAGGGGCTCAGGGACATTGGTGCGAATGTCGCTTGCAAGCAGGACAACCAATCGATGGCAGGGGCCATTTCCTTAAAGGAGGGATACGGAGGCTTGGGGGGACAGGAAAGGAGGAGAGGGGGCATCCCCTCCCTCAGGTAGGAAAGGGAGTGTGGGTGGGGGGGTTGAGGGAAAGGATGGAGCCAGGAAAGTTAGGGATGGAATGGAATTAAGGAAATAAGGAGGAAGAAGACAAGAAGGTCAAGAAAGTTTGGGAGCGAGACCCTCAGGCCCATCTTCATCCAGTCCCTGGTTCAAGGTACCTGCAGTTGGTCAATCGTGACCATCTGGAAGAGCTTTCCCTGTGCCTGCTGCTGCTCCGGGGGCCTCAGAAACTGGTACAGCTGTGAGTTAATGGAGATGGAAAAGGAGGCGTGTTCTCCCACCTTGTTTGGGTCTCCTCCCAGCAAGGTTCCCAGGCGATTCAGGTAAGTCAGGTATTCCCGCAGGATCTGGGGGAGACGCAACCTCAGTCACAGCCACCGTCAGCCCCTGCCTTTCTCTAGCACAAGAGGTCAGGACCTTGGTCCCCAGTGCCATCTTACCTGGGCATAGTTCATCTCCTGCTTTTGCTTGAGGGGAACGTCAAACTCTGGCTGGTCTATCTGGACACAAGAGAGACTGAGAGAAGTGGGGAATGTGGAGGAAGGAGAGGACAGGTGTGGGGAGATGGGGATTTACCAGGAAGATGGCCCCAGGAGATGGACTAAAGGGGGCACAGGGGAGGAGCCAGAGAGCAAGGAAAGCCAGGTACTGGGGGCGAGGGACATGGGGGAAGAGTACAGATGTGCAAATGTGCAAAGAAGGTACTTCAACTAGTTTGGGGGTGCTCAGCAAGAGAGAAGCATAATAACCCATGTCCTGTAGGGAATCATTGTCTGTGCCAGGGCCAGGTCTAGGGTAAAGGGAGTGAGATACCCATCTCAAGTGCAAAAGTTGAGAGGTACTGAAAACTCAGTAATCAAGATCGATAATATCTTAATTGAAATTTAAAAAATCTAAATTAACGCTAAAAATCCCCACAGAATAAAATAGCAAAACTTTGCTCATCATGTATTTTCCCCAAAAATCCACAATGTATTTTTGATCATTTTTTTTGAATTGTAGATGTTTCCCCAAAAGTCCACAATAGAGTTTTGATCCATTGTTTTTTCACAAAAAAAAAATCCACGATGAACAAAAATTTGATATTTTGTTCATCATGGATTTTTGCGTTGATTTTGACATTTAAAAAAATATTTTTTGAAATACTATTTATCTTGATTAGTGAGTTTGGGTACCCTCTTAAATTCTGCGCCCCAGGCAAGTAGCCCACTACCCTCACGTGCTTCACCCTACTTCTGACATCGGTGTGTCCTTGTTTCTTTCCCGAAGATCTTTGCTCCCACGTTTTTTGTTTTACTTCTCCGACTTCAATATCCTACTCCCGCCTGGAGCTATATACTTTTCTGCTATCTTGAATAAAGCTTTCACTTGACTCCTTTGTCACATTTTCTGTCCAAACTTTAAAGAACTAAAAGTCATCTATGCCTTTGCTTCAACTTCCTTACCTTCCTCCTAACTCCATAAAATCGGAGTCCATCTCCATGACCATTTTGATGCTATGTCTAGAAGGTTTCCAACGGTGTCTTTTCATTCCTTATTTTCTAAGCTCAGAAGTCTCTGGAATCAAAGATAACCCCTCCCTCCTGAGCTGGTCTCTCCCCTGTGCTTTGTGGCTCAGCTGAGCTGGTCTGACCCCCACCTCCTGACCGTTCTTACTCTTCTCCAGCACCACCTCATTGGGGTGCTCCCTCTGTAGTTCACTCTCTCTACCTGTATTTCCCCTTAGAGACCATTCAGTCTCAAGGTGATGGGAACCACCCTCCTCCCATTCACACCAAACCAACACTGTGGAGTCATTGTCTAGTTTCTCCATTTCTCTTATTGATATTCAGTCAGTCACCAGTCGAATCACCATGGGCCATCCATCACCACTAGGATGAGGATGTAGGTAGCTGCCTACATCCTCATGCCTGGCCTCACTTTCCATTTCTGCCACAATCATCTTAGTTCAGAATCAACGTGGCTCATCTAGCTGCCTCAGCACCTCTAGGCTGACCTCGAAAACCGCTGACTGTACTTGGGCTCTATGTACAACCATCATATTTGAAAGGCCTTTGTAGCTCATTGTTTTCTATTATGTCAAAAGTTATCACCTCAGTCCAGTGTCGTAGGCCGGGAATAATCAGTCTCGACTTCACGTCTTCAGCGTTACTTTTACCTTCCTCTGCACCCCACCCCTACCCGCGAATCCTCTGTTCAACAGACCAGCCTCCTTGCTGACCCCACAGAGGTGTCACACCATTCCAGGCTCTTCCCTTAGCTCAGGACTGCCCCGCAGCCCTTATAAGGCCCTTTAGCTTCACCGTCAGCTGTACGAATCAACCAGGCTTCAGGACTCAGCCCACACTCTCCCTCCTTCGAGCTTCTCCTTAACCATTTCAGGTCTTAACCAATTTCCAAAGGCCACACCAGTTAAACTCCTCAGCACACCCTTTAGAAATGAATTTGAGAATGCCTCATGTGCATTATCAGGTCTTGTATATTCATCCTCATATAATTTCGTGGCATTTTTCAGAGTAGGGGCCAAATATATAGGGTCACATGGCCTACCACAATACCGATGCGTCCAAGGCTTTAATTTTTTTTTTACCCGCTCAGCAAACACCTGGTGTGGGCCTCTAGATGCCTGGCCCTGTGCTAGGTCCCGAGGACCTGAGCTGAATAAACCGTGGGCCTGTTCTCAAGAGGCTCAGTCTTCAACACAGCACTAAATGCTGAGATGACAGGAAATGGGAGAACAGAGGGGTTCACCTACATCTCAGCCGGGGTTTCAGTGAAGATTTCCTGGAAGGGATAGTAATCAAGGCCAAAAGTTGAAAACTATGTATGGGTTTTCCAGGCTGAGTGTGCGAACTGAGGTGTAGCGTTGCAGGCAAAGGAAGCCATGTATGCAAAGAACCGAATATCCTTGGAGCTGTAAGCGAGGGAGCATGGCTTGGGGTGTAAGGAGGAGATAAGGCTGGAGGAGTTTGTAAGGGTCATACTTGCAAGGCTTTGCTAAGGGTTAAGAACCAGATCCTGATGACCTAGTGAGCCATTTAAGGCATTTAAACAGAGACAACAGCATAATTAGCTCTTGGTTTAGAAAGGTCCCTCTGGGGAAAATGAAAGCTAAATCATAGGAGGGCAATACTGGAGACAGGGGAACTAGTTGAGAGACCCTGGGGGTGATTCCAAGAAGCTACAAGGAAGACCAAGACTACTTCTGTCTTCCCAGAACTGCCCTGCTGCTCCTTTCCCTAATCTCACCTAAAGTCCCTGGTTCTCACATCAATAATTTCCCTAAAGATAAGTCTCTTCCCTGGATTGCACATTTTTCCTCTCCGAGGAAATGTGAGCCAGGCCCAGGTTTTACTACATTTTCTGCCAGTGCCTCCCTCACCTGGATGACCGGCGTGTACGGAGGGGTGGGAAGAGGTCGCAAATAGGCTCTGAAGAATGGGAAGTGACCATGTTGACTCATTAGAAGGCTCAGAGTTCGGTTAAAGTCTAAGGGAGTCCAATCACCGGAGACTGGCCAGCCTCCAAGCTGGGAAGGAGAGAGAGAGGGCTCAGCACAGGGACAGTCTCCGAGACCAACCCCACCACCGCCATTGCTACTTCCTGACCTCTACTCTGAGTCCCTTAACCCCTTTAGGGCTCCACCTCTATCCCTCTTTCCCTACCCTCACCCAAGGTCCTAATACATCCACAGGCCATTGCCATTTCCATCTCCCTCCCAAATCCCTAGGAAAGAGACCCATCCTCTAGGGGGAAAACACGGCAGCCTTGAGCATATGTTGGTCTTGCGTGTTATGCATCCAGAAAGGTTGATGCCCCGGGTCTCACCTCCTCAATAACTTGTCTGAGGGGACCAGCCCCTGCACCCTCAATGGCACCTGTGTCCATGCACGAGCTGTAGAACTGGAAGGCTTTCTCCTCCCCCGAGTCCAGGTGCCAGGAACCTGGGGCTTCTAGAAAGGAAGTGTGGGAGAATTAAAGGAGTGGGGCACCAGCCGGGAAGGTGGGAGACAGAAAGGTTATAGGAAAGGGAAGACTTCCAGGGATAAGGAGGGAAGGGGAGAAAGAGAGGGATGAGGAAAACTGGGAAGATGGGATGAGCTGGATCAACTTGATGGAAGAAAAAGAGCTGGGAACGGGAGCACGGACAAGACAACGAGGAGGATAAAGGAGAGGTGAGGGAGCTCCCTGGCGGGCCAGTGGTTAGGGTTCCACACTCTCACTGCCGAGGGCCCGGGTTCCATCCCTGGTCGGGGAACTGAGATCCCACATCCCACAAGCTGAGCAGCGCGGCCAAAAAAAAAGGAAGAAAGGTGAGAAAGGAAATAAAGACGAAAAGACAGGGGAGGAAAAAAGAAATGGAATAAGTAGAGTATGGAAAAAGGAGAAAGTAGAAATGAGAGGCAGGAGGGAGATGAATGAAGGAATTAGAAATATTGGGGAAATCAGAGGACTTCTGAGGGATCAGAGAGAGGAAAGTGCATGGGGAAATGTTTAGCAAAGAGAAAACATAGGGGCAGGCTCCCCTAGTCTGGACTCTCCCCTCTTTGATCCCAGGAAACAAACAAACAAACACAGGACAATAACCCAAACACAAACCCACTTGAATCCTCCACCTTCTAATATCTAACACCTCTCCCTCAGTCCCCCTGGCATCCTTTCATTCTATTATGGGCAGCAGAATTTGTCCGAAGTGTATTTTTTCTTTTCATCTCCATACCTTAAGTGAAAGCGTACCCCTCTACCATGCAGGGAATACCCACCTCCACTTTTTTCCCATCAAAAGAAGGAGGGCAAAGGGATACATTTATTTCTTCCAGATTCCAACTGATACCGTCAACAGGTTCTCTGGGTTCCCATATGCAGGAAATGCATTCCTTTTGTTACATGCTTACTCCCAAATCCTCGCCACCATCCACCAACTTCCTGGGACCAACTTCCTACTTCCTATGTGGCCTTGGTTCCTCCCTCACAGTTTTCCTCTCAGTTCTTTTCAACACAGCCACCATCTACAGGAATCTTCTTACCTCCAGCCTTTTTAACTTGGTCCTCCTCTCCCTCCAGCATCTCTTTTGTGCCCATCTATATTCATTCCCTTACACACAACCCAATAAGGACCCCTCCGTCACTTCTCACCCACTACGCCACTTCTTTCCTCCCACCATCATCTCCAATCAGTCATCTCCATCATCCCAGTTCAGCTTCTTCCAGTTCAACTTGCACACCATGGTCCAAGGTTTCAGGGAGAACAGGAGATAATGGTGAAAAGAGGGGGGTCTGGGAAGTGATGGGAGGGAGAGGATAACACTGACAAGGGCGCATTAGGAGACAAGAAGGGTCTGAGGGCTGGACAATGAGAGTGATGGAGAGAAAGATTAAAGTGCAACAGGTGTTGAGGAGATGCCAGTGCGGGAAGACACCTGGCATAGGGTAGAAATTGAAAATTTAAGGGAGATAACACAGAAGATGGAACTTGGTGAAAGGAAGAACTTGGAGAGAATGGAGCAATCGTGGATAAATGGGAAAGGAGAGAGGATAGGGATTAGGTAAAGAAAAGATGAAGGGAGGGACAAGAAGAGATGGAAGAGAGGTGGTACCTGCGGTGAAATGTACGGTGATGGAGAAGCAAACCTAACAGTTCCCTGAGAGCCAATGGAGGATGGTGCAAGCCAGGTGTTCCACAGGCACACAGGCTTGGGACAGTTGTGATCATTCTAGGCTCAGTGGCACCCATGGCAAGAGAATCTTCCACCCTGATTTCCTTACCCAGTATTCTCTGAAGTCGGCGCTTGTTCTCCTTTGCAAGAGCCTGAAAAGAACTAGTGGTCCTGTTGGTGTTTCCACAGGCAAAGCTAAAGAAATCAGTGCAGGGGGCCACACTGGTGTTTCCAGAGGCCAGGTAAAGACTCAGGAGGTCCCGACACACAGGCGTCTCACAGTGGGCTGTGGGGAAAAGCTCAGAGCTGGGAAAGAGAAAGTGATGAGGGCTCCCCCAAGGGGCTAAGCAAAGGAATGTCTGGGGAGGGAAAGGGACAGAGACCCTGGTGAGGAGGAAATGGTTTGACTGGCGGCCAGGAGTGTGATTCAGGGGGGAAGAGGTCGGGAACCCGGGGCCCCGGAGGGTCGGGATGAGTGTCAGTTAATGGACACAGAGCCTCAGGGTGATGGATGGATGGATGGGGTCCAAGAATGAGGGAGGGCTGAGTGGGTCGTGGGAGACCTAGGATCTCGCTTACCAGGACCACAGCCCTGGAAAACGTAGCCCCAAAGCAGCAGAGAACCACCAAGGATTAGACTGAAAAGCAGGACTGTCATTAGCGCTCGCCTGGCCATCGCCCACTGTCTGCTGTGTACAGCGGGCAGCCCCTCTTCTGGAGATCTCTGCGCAGAGAGCCAGGAGGTGAAAACCACAAGATGGAGAGAGGATATTGGGAGAGGGGTGGGGAAAGGGAGGGGAGAGGAGAAAGAAGGGACAGTTAGTGCTAGGGCCCCTTTGTATGGAGATAACACCCCTCATTATCCCAAACCCAGCCCTCTTTGGACCCCTGGGAGCTGGCAGGGTTGTCATAAATCTGCCCCGCACAGGTCACAGAGGTCACTTACCTCCCGTCTCCTGCGGGTCCCCGCTCCGCTCGCTGGCTCAGACCCCATGGCTCTCCCCAACTCGTCTCCACCCTCCTGAA